GCATCCATTATGGTATTAACCATGACTGTGGTACCATCCATGTGAGATGGATGGTACCACAGATAATTTCAAAACTACCTATGGATGCATCCATGCATGGTATCAAGCCCAGCCATGGATGCATCCATGGGCCTGGCACCATGGATGCATCCAAATCAAACATGCCGGTCGGATTGATGCCATCAGTGATGGCCGATCGGCTCCCCCAGCGCCCAATACCCTGCAAAGGCCAAGGAGTGGGGGCATGGCCAACTGGGTGGGAGCATGTAGTACATACTCTAGACATACTGTACATCACTTTCCATGTACTCTAGCCTGCCTACTACCCATTTATGATGCCCGAACTGCCAACTAATCAAAAGCCAGAAAAATCAAAAAATATTCAAAACTCCATAGTCTGCCAAGCAAATCTCATGGGACTTGGCCTGTCTTGAAGAGCGAAAATATCTCATTTTTCTAGTGCAAATCAGACAACCCAAAAGCCAAGGCAATAGCATTGCAAGGGTATTTTTCCTGAAATATGCCAGAAGCACCTTCCAGCCAAACCAGTGACTTTCCCGTCACTAGGTGATTGGATCAAAGAGCCCGGGGGGAGACCTACCGGCTGCACCAAAGCGCTTATTTTTTTGAGCCAGATTTGAGCGAGCTACAAGGCATTCACCCCACCATCCAAATCAGGCAAAGCACCATGGTACCATCCACACAGCCATGGATGCACCCAAGGCTGTATGGATGGAACCATGGTCATGCGTTGTGTGACACCCATGGTACCATCCACAATTTGTGGATAGTACCACCCCCATGGGTGATACCATGGATTTGGTACCTCTTAGGCCCAGGGTTCCGTGGGTTCGATTAAGCCTAAGAGGTACCAGGTAGGGGTAGCCTGAGGTGCCCCACCCCTGGTTGTTCGTCAGGACACTCCCGAAATGGTTTTCCCGGATCCGCCAGTCGTTGAGGAGTTGGGGTCTGTGGTCGGTGCCGGACTACTACCACCCGGGCCGGGGGTGATCCGACATCGGGCCCCGGTAGGTTTGCCTGAGGACGACGTCTGGGCTCCGGCCCTCTCCTTCCGTCCCCGTTCCTCGCCACTGGCGCCCGACGTCATTATGCTCGACGTCGACGACTCTGATGATGTGTCGATGGGACCTTTGTGCGCCTCATCGCCTGGTTTGGAAATGCTACCCAGCCCCCCTCCTTCGATCCGCGAGGCATCAGTGATCGAGATCTCGGACGATGACCCTCCGCTAATCCCCGTGATCCCCTGCCGTCCCGTCGCTCCCCCACCCTCTATAGCTCATTCTACACAAAAGATGTGGGCAAGTACCCAAGGGGCCAATGCAAAAGATGTTGAGTATAATGCAAAAGATGTTGAACCTGGTATAATTGTTGAATTTCTCATTGCATTTGAAGTATATGACTAAGCCAATTACATAAGAAGTAATAGGAATCACCTTTTCTTCAGGGCTGAATATGCGGTATGTAATATTATGGTCCTAATAACACAAAAACAAGGAAATCAATCATCACTTACATAACATTGATCTAGCTGTACACAGTGATCAAACTCACTGATGGCCATCAGAAAGAGTTCCACATTAGTCAACTTAGCTAGATGCCATCAATCCCATCACTGATACCACTCTACAGGGCTTAGAATTAAAGAAATATTATTAAAGAAAATACTTGTTGGGCCATTGCCCTCATCTTTTGCATTACCCCTCTGGGCACTGGCCCACATCTTTTGCATAGATACAGCTATATGAGCTGGCTCCCCGCACTTCCCCGTCGAACCGGGTATCACGGCTTACCGTGGAAGACACCGACGGCTACGTGCCCTCTGCCCCTGCCTTGAGCCGGACGGGCGCGACAGAGCGTTTCCCGGGTGAACCGTTGCGCCGCCTCGGCGAAGTGGTCCGGACCATTACGCCTCGTTGCTCCTTTTGCGCACAGATGGGGCGTCTTTGCACCGTCTGGGGTCAGCCCGGCGACCTCGCATCCAAGCTCCCGGCCAACGTCCGGCGTGCTTGCGACTGGTGCAGTCTCTCGCACCATTGTTGCAATTCGTGGGGCCCGTTTGCGGCCGCTTACGAGGCCAAGGATTTGCGCGGGTCTTCGTGGCGGTTCGAGTTCTGGGAGTGCACGGACGAGGAGGGCGTGTATGCTCTGTTGGAGATGGATTCGCAGTTTGCAGACCTTCAAGTGGTGTCGGAGAATTTCCTCTATCGACGTTTTTGCTTCCGTTTTCTACCCCGCTCCAATACGCTCCGGGCGCAGCATCGGCGTCGTTCGGAGGACAAGGGGCACTCTACCCGTCCCAACGTTCGGAACCGGCATGCGGGCCGTCAACCGTCTCTGTGACGCCCCCCGGGCCCGGTCACGGGATCCCCGAACTGGGCCGTCGCGTCGGCGCTCCCGCTCTCCTCCTCCTCGGCGATCGGCCTCTCCGATCCGTCGGCCAGCGCCGCCTCCTCACGCACGATCTCCCGCACCCCCCCGTTCCGCGCCAGTCACCCCGATCCGTCCCCCACCCACTGGGCCGCGTAGGGACGCGGGCCGCCCCGAAGCGGGAACAAGTTCCGGTCGTGTGGGCCCCTCAACGATAGGGGATATGCCTTTCCGCCCGGAGGATTACCCGGAAGTGCTGCTCTGGTTCGGCGAGCCGTCGCCGGTTCGAGCCGCTGCCGAGGCGCACCGCTTGTTGGACGACCCGGATGTGGCCCAGTCGTGCTGGTTCTCCGCCGTGGGGGTGACGCTCCTGCACCAGTTGCTCACCCGGCCCCAGGACAATCCTCTATCCCTCGGTGTCTTGCGTTCGATCCGGTCTTGCGTTCGATCCGGTCCGAGACTTGCATGTTGATGCAGCCGGCGGATTTCGAATTGATGGATTACCTGGGTCACCAGTTCTCCGCGGCTCAGATGGTGGAGCTGTATACTCGGGTGATGAGTGTCTTCGGGGCCGTCGATGACTCGGGATCGACCCGGCTCGGTTTGTGGGAACAGAGGGCTGTCGCGGATCGTCGCCAGGCCGGTCGCTCGGGCCCCGTTCCTGGGGGTACTCGGCCTGGGTCGGGATCGCGACGTTCTCCCCCGTCGGGTCCTTCGGCGGGTCGAAAGGGAAAAGGCCGGGCGTAGCCGGCGGGGGGTTTTTTTTTTTGTATTTTATTATTTTGTACCTTTTTTTTTTTTTTTTTCCTTGGACTTTTTGCAATAAACCGTGTCGCCCTCTCGTGTGTTCTGTTGTGCAGGCGTAAGGGGATCGCTTAGATTCTGTCAGACTGCGGGTCGGGCCGTGCAAGAACCTCTCCTAAGAACGCGTGCCCGGAACAGAACAGACGGATAGTCGGGCCCGCAAGTGCGGCGGGCGGGGTAGATCGAAACCGAAAGGGCCCGTGAACTCGGTCCCTTGCCATGGTCGGTGGTCGAAGGTTCGAATCGGGTCGTGTCGGGCCCGATGAGTCGACAACGCCTCCTTGCACGGAGTAAGGTAGTTCTTTAGACGATCTAAGCGATAGAGTACAGGGTACACTATCGCGCCTTATATACGCGGGCCCGCAAAGGGATGATCGGACACCCTGGCCTCTACTCCTCCTCCTCGCTCCCATTCCTGGCCACAGAGGGGACCATCGTACATCCCTTGCGGGCCAGGCGCTACTCCTAACCTCCTAGCACTCCTCCCCAGTCCCCTTGTGTCGAGTTGGGCTCGGCGACGGCTCGACGCGTCGTTCTCGGTCACGTGCTTCCCATGTGTGCGTTCCTCCTACTGGGGCGCATGTTCCCCGTCGTCACGTGCTGCGTGTTACGGGCCCGCGATGGCCCGACACCAGCGCCAGAGCAGACGGGCCGGGTCTTATCCGTGACAATATTGGGTCAGAGCATGTTGGTCCAGGCTGAACATCCTCTCACTCTAGTGGTTGATAGTCCAATATATAAGTCTTTTTCAACTGACAGGATTATCACCAACAGGTAACAATTAGCCTTATAACTATGAGGAAGAATACCATTCACAGTACATAAACTTGAATACTATAAGAACAAAAAAAAAAGAGTAGAAGTGGTACTAGTTAGTATACAAGCTGGTTTTGTAATAAAGTTCATGAGTTTGGGGCTGACATCTAAGTTGCTAGGATAATATACCATAATATATTATGCTGTAGCCATAATAATAATATGGAATAATTTAATATTCATTCTGGCCCCCAGGCATCATATAATCATAATAATAATAACAACAATACTTATGGCATAAGTAATATTAAATCATAATATAATAATCGCCAGCACTATTATCAAATGGTTTACAGGTAAGCTTACTGGACCCACTCATACAATGCTGAGACACCTGGCATACGGTGGACCGTACCATACCCCCCCCCGTACCGACCTTCATGGCGCCGGGGTACGGTGCGGTGACGGTCCGGAGGCCGCCATTGGCCCATATCTCGGCCGTAAATGTATGGCCGCACCCATATAGGGTACGGTTCCCTCGGTTTTACCAGTAAGTATATGCATTCAAATGAATTTTATTAAAGAAAACCCCCAAAGCAAGCCAGCAACTCTTGTCGTGACTATGAGTTGTTCATGTCGCCGGTCGGGTCGATGCAGGAAGGTGCGAACTCCGTGTATTCCGTTCGCTACCATTTACTGTTACACAGGTGCAGAAGATAGACAGCTAGCTATAACCCCTGGCTGTACTGGAACGTCATCAGAAACGCCGACCCGCACCAGGACCAGGACTACGAGGTATACAAATATATGCGCGGTACTGTCCGTGGTACTGAATGAGTTGTAGATTCGGGCGAACTGCGCGGACTGGGGCACGCTGTCGAGCGCCTCGCAGAGCACGGCGGGCATATCGGGGCGGCGTTCGATTTGAGCGCGTCGCTGGCATTGTGAAGGACTAGTGGGTCGATCAGCGCCAGCCTAGAATAGACGACAGCTGGCGATCTACGAATATATATATCCCGATATCAGTGTGTTTGTTTGCGATCCGATTACCATTAGACAACTTGACCGTGCGCGGTGCTTGTAACGGGCATCGACATTGGTGGGCTCTCGAAGACCATTTGGCTCTGGCTCCGGATCAGACTAGGACAGTCATAGGGAACTTGAAGCAAAACACACTGTCAATTGTCCGTGCCCTGCAATTCGACGAGCATAGGACGATGTAAAGGCCCCTCTGCCGTCCAGTGACGCTTTCAGCTGTTTCCGACCATGCATACTAGCCAAGGTTTGGTCGAAGGAACATAAACTGATCAGTGTACTCACTGGGCCAGCATCGAGTTAGAGAATACTGCATTGACAATTTAATATTCGTGAACGGCTGTACCACGAGGTTCTAGATTGGCTCACGTTTGGGCTGTACGAGAAACACGGCGCTCCATGCCACTGTCAGAAGGATAGATTCAGAATAAGGCTGTAATGAGAAGTGAGGTCGTACGATTATCAGGCATGGTGATGAACTGAAAAATATTGAGCTTGGCTGCAGGAAAGCACAATGCTCACCAGAATCAACTGCAACACGCCGGCTGCGCTAAAAGTGCAGGTAAGAATGCAGATCTCGACCCATAAAACGAAGTAACCTCGTGATACTCGTCGTCTCTGCTTTGACGTTGGCATTCCGTTCCATTGAAGAACACTATACGACGCACCAAGCGACCAAACAATGATCCTGTCGATCATCCTCCGCGTGTCACGCACCATCGCGAACTCGTTCTCCTCCAACATGGTCTCGCGCAGCTTCCACAGATAGAAGCACAGGGACGCCGCGGTGAGGACGTCGACGCACGGCCCAATGACAGACACGCAGAGCATCAACCACCGCAGGCTGGTCTGGAACACGACAAAGCCGGAGGAACGCCAGAACCCGACGAGCATGAACATGTTGAAGACGAACCGCGCGAGCGTGAGGGAGGAGCAGATGCTTGGGATCAGCCAAGATCGCGAGAGGGTGTGTATTCGAAGTGCAAAATAGGACTGCCACACAGCACGTTAGACACAGTTACCAGGGTTAGAGAAGGCAAACTTGGATGAGGAGGTTGATGATCGCGGAGAAGAGCACGGTAAAGGCAATCGAATGCGGCGGGTCCGCGAGATGCCCGATCTGCCCGTAGAAAGTAACAAACATTCCGTAAATCTACATCTGTGTGAGTCCCCCGGGATGCCGCAGAGCTTCTGGACATACCGCATGCCACATCGCAACAGAGTGGCCGACTTCGATGCACCTGCCATTCTGCGGGTCAGCATCTCCGCGTTTCAGGCTAGTCCAGATTAACGCACCAAACGGCACCGACTAAGGCCTTCGCTGCCCCAGAAGAGCTGTAGAGACGATAGTAGTGGAAAGATTGGAGGGAGGCGACGCCGAGAAGGAACGTGGAGAGCACGGCTCCGATGAGGATGGGACCGGCGGTGCTATCGAGGGAGGGCATCAGCAGGCAGAGTCATAGGAATGAGAGGGAGTGGGAGTGTGTGCACCTTTGGAATCAGCCCCGCGCTTTATACCCATGCCCGTCACGCCAGCTACATAGCAGATCGTCATGATTCCCCGCTATCAAGTTGTTGCGAACTGCCCCGGGCCTGGGCAGGGAGATAGTAGATGCGCGAAGGCAGGAAAGCTGCTGGACGACAGATTGGTTCGACGTCTCGCATCTTCTGCTATGCTCATCGGTCCGTGTCATACGCCACGGATCGAGCCAATTGCGGGCGAGGCCAAGGGGACGCCCGTGCTACGTAGGTGGCGCGGAGCATTCGGTATCTTTCTCTCCCACCGGGACGAGGAATATTCAGCTAGTCCAATCCTGGGAGCACACCAGCGAAGGCATGGATGACGGGAGAAGTCAAGCCGCGACTGCTGACATGACGTGTCCGAAAATAAGCGCAGCGGCGTGATCGGGAATCAGCGATAGATTTTCGGCATTTTCGGAGCTATCGTACATGTACATAATGTGCGGTAGATACATACAATCACAGATAGTGCTGGCCAAATATAATTATATTATTTTATGGGCATAATATATTATAATCATATCATATTCAGAGCTCCAACCCAATAATATATTTGTAGTATAATATAATCATATTCAGCTGTGAAATATGAATATGTTATGAATATATTCAACTATAATCTAGTATGCATATCTCTTGATATGTTTCACATATTTGCTGCTAGAAAAAGGAATCAAAAACATAAAATACATGCTGGATTGTCAGTGCAACTTCCTTTTGGGCCTCCCTGGGTTACATAGGACTCTCAAAATACAATCAGGGGCATTGTCACTAGTCTTAGGTTAGCCAGTAGATACTTGATCAGAGGTCCTACACTATGTTTAATAGGTCAACCCAAAGTGATCACTCCTGACATTTGTTCCTACTAAGGGTAATGTATGAATCACCATATATAATAGATAATATGTGACATTTATCAGAAGTAGGGCTAACTCAGACTAAGATTAGTACTATGACTGAGTACATAGACTGAGAAAATAGCTGTAATCATCTACCTTACTATAGTTGAATATTCTGCGACTATAATATAGTATAGTCATAATATAATATAATATATTCAAACATAATCATATTCAAGTGATCCACAAAGTGCATAATATATTCATAATATTCTGAATATATTCAATATTTAATCAAGCATAATATAATTCTGGCCAGCACTAATCACAGACCAGTGACCTTCCCGGCGCCGGCATTGGCCGCAACGATGGACGCCACTGAGGACGCAGCGTCGAGCGTGTACGAGTATGGCATCGAGGTGAGGCTGCCCGCGGCGACCTGCCAAAAAAGGTTAAAAGAGTGATACAAGCGGGTTTGAAAGCCTACAGTGTCGAGAGTAGAGTTGGTGAACACGTTGTTGCGCTGGACAGCACTTGTTTTGCAGTCAAACGAGATGTTGCATCCAACAACGCAAAAAGTACTCACAAGCCGCCGTTGAGCGTCGTCTCGATGGGGTCCTTGGCGTTCGTGAACTGGTTGTCCTCAATGAGCGTCTGCGCGCCGTCACGCGAGTCGACGCCGGAGTCGAGCAGGCCGTCGAAGTGGTTGCTGTAGATATGCGCTGTGCCGAACCGAATGGAAGGCGTGCGCGAGTTGATCTGAGAGAAGTGGTTGTGGTGGTAGGTCACTCTGTGGGACGTTGGTTACGCCTCGACTGGAGAGGCCGAACATACCGCAAGTGCCCGCTGTCCTCGGAGCCGGTGTTGTCGGAGCCGCCGACGAGGGAGCACTTGAAGTGCTGCTGGAAGACGTTCCATGAAACCGTTACAAAACTGCGGGCGCAGATTAGATGTGGCCGTATCGTTCGGAGAGAATTAGATTTTACTCGGTTCCGTGGTTCATGTCCAGTTGGCCATCGTAGAAATCCTTGTCGTGCGTTAAGTCGGAGGTGAATGTGTTGTGCTTCCCAGCCGTCAGCAGGATCAAAGAAAGCATCCGAAGAAAACGCGCACGTCCACCCAGATATTCGTGCTGGTTTGCAGTTCAATCAAGTCTGTTGGCGCGGGCGATTTGGAGAGCTGCAGGTTGCGGAAGATGACGTTGGTGCCTTTCTATACGAGTATAAGTTGAAGCTTTGAAACATGCTTCAGAACTTACCTTCACACGGAAGCCACCGCCGGTAACTCCTGAGTTTGAGCCGATTCCGACGATGGTCGTGCTAAATTACTCATTATTGTACTCCGCGCAAGGGAGGTTTCCACCAAGACTTACTGGTTGCCGACGTCGATAGTGTCGCCATCTGAGAGAACAGATTAGAGTGACATTTAACTGACACTGAAAGAACAACAGACCTCCGGTGATGATGCCGCTGATTTGCACGATTTTCGCCGAAGCTCCAGTAACAGCTGAGCGAAGGGCGGAAAGGCTGGTCACGCTAGACAGAGAGCGCGTGAGCAGTTTGAATTGACAGTGGGGCATCCTCTCTCACGTTGTGGTAGGACCGCCGGCACCGCCAGTGGTTCCGCCATTGAGGGTCGCATAACCGACGAGCTGGTTGACTGGAAAACCAGTGAGTGAGTGGACATGAGTATGCAATTGAGACATACCGGGAGCAGCGCGTTGCTCGATGGTGGCTGCGCTAACAAGAGCGAGGAGGAGCGAGAAAACTGCGACGCGCATATTATATCTGATAAACTGGATCGACAGCCAAGCAAGAGCCAAGGAGAAGAATTTCTCTGGGCAAGCCTGGCCAAGCCTTCCAAGCTCTTATACACCGACGTCCGGCCCGGGGAATTTCGTCGGAGGTAAAGCTGGCCCACAAGGCCCTCAAAGTGGACCAACGTTTAATCCTCGGTAAAAGCCCCCGGCAAGCAGACAATGTGATCACGAAGGACCGCTGCCTGGAAGAGGAAAAGCCGTGGTCAGACACCACAATGAGCTTATGTCTACAATGCCAAGGGACGGTGCCTTGACGCAGCCACACTTTTTCCTGGGTCTTTCTACGTGCAGAGTGAATATTAGAGAATATTTCGCACCAGGGAATTAACGGACAGACGACATGCTAATTGAGGCAGCCGACACTCCTCAATGACCTGTTTCTCCGTCTCAAAGCGGACCGCCGGAGCGTATGAGGCCGGGTGTAGCTGATTTGGCCAGCAGCAAGATGGCCTGCCAAAGCGCAGTCGCATGACGTCCGCGCCGTTCATTAAAGGATCATCGTCTTTCGCCGCTTCTTGAAGTTCTTCCATATAGCGACAGCTCGAAAAAAGCTCGTGGTGGGAGGAGGTAAAAAAAGACTGATCCGGTCACCATGACGAAAGCATCACTTCCTCGTGGGAGATTTCCTCCCTCAGTCAGCGCCATCATGGCGCCTTTTTGCTCGACCGTCTTACGCACGATGCGTGTCCCTGGTCGCACGCCAGCAGCGTTTCTCTCCTTATCTCTTCACCATGCCCTGGACTAACATCCCCCTCAACGACGGCACCGGTCCGTTTTCCACTTATTCATCACAAGACGCTCATTACTTGAAGGCACAAGCATTCCCAGTCTCGCGTTCGGGACAGCAGGACTTGAAGACCCCGCTGGAACCGTAGAACAAGCACTAAGTCTCGGTGTCAACCACATTGGTGTGTGCCACCCTCTTCCCTTGTCGCATGCTCATGTCGTTCCTATAACTTAGACACCGCGCAAATATATGGCAATGAGAACGAGGCCGGAGTCGGCATTCGCGATAGCGCCCTCCCCCGTGACGAGCTATATGTCACCACCAAGTTCTCCGGTGGTGGCCCGGAGCTGAAGAGCATCAAAGAGAGCTTCCAAGATAGCCTCGATAAGGTGCGCTTATCTCGTTTTATCCTGCTGTTTATAGTCTGAGATATTTTTGTCGCTGTGCAGCTTGGGACGACATATATTGATCTCTACCTGATTCATTCCCCTCGTTGGGCACAACCCGACATCCCCAGCGCATGGAAGGAGCTCGAAGACATTCGCGGCCGGCCTGGTCAAGTGCGTGCCCTCCCTTACCGTCACGGTCATATTTATTTACCCGTCCGGCAGAAGCATCGGTGTCAGCAACTTCTCCGTTCAGGACCTGACTATCCTTCTCGCCAGCGCGAAGGTCAAGCCCGCTGTCAACCAGATTCTCCTTCATCCATACGTCTTCGCGCAGCAAAAGCCCATTCTCGAGTTCTCCAAGAAACATGGCATTGTTATCGAGGCGTATAGTCCACTCATGTTTGTTGATCTCACATTCCTGCATATCACCCGCTTGATGCAATATAGTCCCTTGCGTCGTAACCCTGGTGGTCCCCTGGACAAACCAGTCCAGGAGATTGCTACACGTCTAGGTGTCACTCCCGAACAAGTTCTTTTAGCTTGGACCAAGGCAAAAGGTGCCGTAGTCATTACGACCAGCACGAAGAAAGAGCGCGTCTTGGGGTATCTTCATGCTGGCGATCTAGGTGTGTGTGTGTGTTTTTGTGCTGCATCCTTATCGTGGACCACCTCTCATAATTTCTCAGAACTCACTGAAGAAGATATTGCCGCCATAGATACTGCTGGAGCGCTTGGGCTCCCGCTGACCTTCTCTGGAGTCTCCGTTTCTCGTAGCCATGCTCGTGCTCTGGCGTTGTTCTTCATCTTCGGGCTTGTGCTCCTTGTGTTGATCAAGCGCATCAGCATCTAAGTGGGGAGAGCTCTTATGTAGAATGAGGCAATGAACCAAGTTGTCTGTAAACTAGCTGAGCATAATTGAAGTTTCCTTTGGCCTAGTCCACCTTCATCGCATATTTTGTTTCTCTTTTGGACAATGGCTGGAGTTGCTGGTACAGCAGAAAGTTAAGTTTGTTTCCTTGCCTCATCCTGTTTGCAATGCTAGATATGAGTCCTGAGTTGACCTCCCCTTTGCGGAGAAGCCCCTTTTTGCCTTCACAGATGATTTGAAGTAGGGCGGAGCCACCGAAGACAGAGTTGTGATGCTATGCTAGTGCTTGGAGGAATCAAACCAAATGACTGATACAGGGTTTTCTCATTCTGAACAGACAAAACAAAGAGCTTTAGCTACAATGCCCCACAACCTGAGCCTATCTATGTGAATAGTCACGGTGACTCAGCTCATCAGAGCCTTGTTCCACAGATGCAAGTCTAGCATGCATTAATTCTGATGAAGTTATCAACACCAGCAAAGAATTTTGGGTACTGAAGAACTTGAAGCTATCAGGATCTGGAAATGACATTGACTCAAATTTATGTAGCTTTTTTTTAAACATCACCGTTAACCTTGCTTGGCAGAATTAGGATCACCGAAAGAGGGAAGGTGAGTGCTGGCCAAATACAAATATCATATACAATTCAGATATTATATTGTATTCATATCACATTTGCATAGTGCTTAGAAGAAGAATATATTTATAGTATATTATATTCATATTCCCTCACAGATATTTAGTAAGATATGAATATGTTGAAATATATCTGAGTTATCTGGAATGTGAACTTGAACTCTAAGTAGTCAATATCATCTGCCAACCCCAACTTAAGCTATTCCTTGGTAATGATACCAATCAATCCTGTCTCTGTTGTTGTTGATAAGTGCACATCAGATATTGTATGCTTGAGGCTAGAGAATACTCCGAGTCCAGTATTCCATTGGCCTGTGACCAGAAATGTGCAATTTAGCCAAGGGCCAAATTTGGTGTGGCCTCCTGTCTCGTATAGTAGCTTTGCCATAGGCACAGAAAATTTTGGCAATTGGGACATATTGGGATCAAAGAAATGTGTTGTGACCTGTGACAGGCAGGAAATTTTAGGCCAAAAATGGCAATGTGATTATAACAGCATGTTATCGGCTGACATGCTACAATAGCTGAATACTTGAGGATAATTGAATAAATATAATGTATTCATAATGTATGATGATATATTCAGGTGAGTATAATCAATCTTTAAGGGTTGCACCGACATCTTATTATATATATATATCCATAATGTTTAGAATTTAATGAAAGATATTTATTTATGGCCAGTACTAGTCAAGGTTTAGTGGTGCAATGCCCGGGGCTCGAACGCTGGACGAGAATGGTGATGGGATCACGGCTATCTCCAAACGTTACCAAAACTTCATCAATCAGAAATTGGCATAACGTTTACATACATCTTGCCGTCCTCCATCATGTCTGTCGGAGCACTCCCGCTACTGGACCTCGCCCCCGAGCTCATTCACGCGTGTCTCTCATTTCTCCCTTTGGACGACATCGCGTCGTGTTTGCACGCCGGAAGTCGCCTGCTGACAACACTTATCCTAGATTCTCCCGCCATCCGCTATCGCATCGAGCAAGAGGAAGCAGGGGTTGAAGAAAACCCTTACTCCTCCGCCTTGGCAGGTCTAGATATCTCCGCGCGCTTGGCCGAGCTGCGGGCCCGCGAACGCCGTTGGCGCGAATTTGACCCAGTTTCGCGTCACAAAATCGATTACCCCACATGGCCCGTGCTGCTCTATACCATCCACGCAGGACTTTGGATAGCGGCACAAGAAATGCAGGACACAGGCCCGGGAGGCTCTGCTTTAGCTGATGCTGTGCGGTATGTCGACATGTCGCCTCAAGCTCAGCCAGCTGAGTGGCGCACGGTATTCTCTGGGACGCCGTTTGCCAACTTTGCCACCGCTCTGGAGGAACACGATCTTCTGGTAATCTTCACCGTGTAAGCTATCTCTGTTGCTACAGCCACGTATTGATGAGAATTCCAGCGTTGTATGTCCCGATGAACCCTCGATGGTCTCCATCGACGCGCTTATGCTCACGTTCTCGACCGGAAGCCCACATGCAATGGCATCCTTGCCAAAGGTTCATATCACCCGTCGAGCAGCGAACAATCCTATTAGCGATCTTAACGCCGAGGTTTCAGGCGACATGATTGCCCTCGCCATATACAACGAGAACAACATGTACGCGGACACAAACTATCTCTATGTTTTGAACTGGAAAACCGGGACCATTCTATTGGTTTGTCATGTACTGCCATGAGGTATTTTAACCAGGTTTTGCAGGGGCCCACCGTAATAACTTCCATTGGCCTCGCGTTTCTGAGCCCGCGCGACCTTCTGATCGCAAGCGCCTCAAAAAATTGTCTATTCGTTTACTCCTTCTCTGACTCGTCGACTTCTCTCGTCCCGACAATCATAAGACTGTGGCTGCCCCAGGTTCGTCCACGTACTGGTATCGTTGGTCCACAAATGCAATGCCGGCGCTCGCCCAACCCACACAACCATTTATCCCATCCACGGTATCATGCGGCGCGCTTCCCCCCGGCCCCGAACTGCGCCAACATCTTCCTGTCATACGAGACGATTGATGTCGACAGCGACGAATGCGAAACGCATCCGTATCTCATGGTCCCGGAGTACATTTTGGATGCAGTCAAATTGGCGAGGGAAGACGAGATTGACGACCCCAAGCCCGAGGTGGAAATCGACTGGGAAATGTGGGGCGAGCGCTGCACGCGGTGGCTGTGGCCTCAAGACGTCGCTGGCGCGTGGATATTGGCCAGCTCTGGACACCGAATGGTCGCTTACCCGCCGTTCAACCCACAAGCACCGCGGCGTGGGCCCAAACAGATGCAAATTCTAGATTTCAATCCACGCGGCGTCGCAGCTCTGCGCAGTCAGCTTAAGAACGGCGAGAGGGTCAGCGATACTATGCGGCTAGTCCTCCGCAACACACTGCCTGTGTCCCAGAAGGAAACCGCTGGATTTACGCACTATGCACAACGGGTGCGGTCGCGCCTTCCTTATATCGAGATGACCGCGCCGGAGGAGTATAAATTCGATAATGTCTATTTGAGTGAGGAATTCATTATTGGGCGGACGGTGAGTGCTTTTTCGTGGGATTCGCTGGTATTCACTGATTCTCCTTAGTATGGCGAGGAGGAGAAGGGTATAGTCGAGAGTCTGGAGGTCCTCTATTTTGGATAGTGGTTTCAATTATTATTGATGGTCATGGAATGAATGGGTTACAAATCGGATGGGTATTCGATAGACATGTTGGCGACTACCCATCCCGACAAGATCCGTTTCGATTATGAGCCAGTCCTGAACATGTGTCAATTTATGGAACAACCAAAAAAAAGACGGTACCTTCACTGATATCAGACCCGCATCGAAGCTAGGAACAGCTAGTTTGCCTTCGCCAGACACACTAGCGTCGAAGTCCAAGGTTATTAGGTCTTCAGACTGTGGAGGCGCTGCGCTTGCTGATATTCGGGGTAAGGGCTTTGTTGATGACATTATCATTCTTATGCTGGCCGAGAAATTGGGGAGTTTAACAGAAGTAACTCGTAGGATGCCGATCCGAGGCATTACCAGAGAGTTTGAGCATTTCCCGACCAATTGTATGTGGAGGGGGATAGCATCGGAGAGCGCAAACGTCCGTGTAGACGGGACGAATACCTGCATAGTACGATGAGCCACAAAGAGCGGTAAAGAAACTGTAGTGCCGACATCGGTAGTATGGTCTGCTGAGAAGGAGACGGAGTTTTTGAGCCAGTCGCCAAAGACGCTTTTAGACGTCCCGTGGGCAGCAAGCGGTAGGCCGCGCCAGGGACAATCGTCGGGACGGTATATGATAGGAAGCTCGTATCTATGGGGTGTTATCAGAATGGGATCCAACATTTGCGTGGCATTATTCATACTGCTGAGTGCGAGGTTTGCGTGGCCGTCCCCACAGGCGAGCAGATGATGCTTTCGCCACAGAAAAGACAAGCCGGTATGTTGTCTTCGCATGTGCGGACGGAAAGCTCACTGTATGTGTTGGCGGGAGAGTATGCTCGATACCGACATGAGTAAAATGACTAGGAAGCTTGAAGAGAAAGTCGAAACAAGACGAGGAAGATTGAACGGCGTCCGCCAATGGGTCCGAAGCAGGGAGCAACTGGAGGTCTTCGTTGATTAGATCGACGTTAAGCGCGCCGGCCTCGAGGGTGTTTATGCGGAGCGTCCCTTCAAGCTTGCATGTGTAAATTGGCTTGACAGTTGGGATGGTCGCGGGCCCACGTACCCGAACAGAAACTTCTCTCCATTGCCTTGCATTACCACCCAGCACGATACTCCCGCGGATGGTGTCCTGCATCCCGTAACGCGGCGGTTTGGCCACGATATCCTCTTGGTCGAACAGCAGGACCGTGCCGAATGGGAAAGGCTTGCTTGAAAGCGACCTCGTCGTTGACCGATGATTTGACTCCAGAGTAAGCGAGCCTTCCGGTTGGAGTAGGGATTCGTGCTGCGTGGGATAGCGCGAGTACACCGGTAGCTCGTGTTGTGTTGAGCAAGAGCCGACTCCGTAGTATTCTGGTGGAACCAGACCGGTCGACGGGCCGGCATATGGTGGAGGAAATGGCGCGTTCATAATGTTTGCCGTGAGCGGTTCGTGCTGGTGACCATTATATACCCTTGCTCCGTCAGCACCACCGCTGACTTATCATAAGTAGCATCCATCGCCGTTGCGGGATTGACGCGGAACGTCGTGGAAACAAATCTGGAGGCTTAGTCAACCCACTGAAGCCATGTGCAAAGAGTGACGTCACCTCTTCCCTCTTTCCTTCGGCCATGTCGGGACGTCGGTACCGCACAGATGCGCAGACAGGACAACGTGGACGATCCCGCCCAGAATGATGAATCGGATGGCCCCTCAACTTCCGAGCGACACTTCAGGGCCCTTTATGGGCAGAAACGAAGGGGAAGAGCAGCTCATTGGCCCTGTGTCCCCGGACAGTACGCATCCTGCACAATTTTTAGCACTTCCCAATACCATTCGCTTCGTCCTTCCCGTTCACGTGCACCTCTGCGAGGCTCTCTCAATTTTTTCCCTCTTCGCACTTGCTTTGCACACATGGGCGAAGATTTTCTAAAGATTTTCCTCCGTTCGGATGTTGAAATGCTTGGTTGCCCTCGTTGTGGGGAACACGATGGGGTGTTTCGAAGAAGCAAAACATTACGTTGCGTGCGATGCTTCTGAGACATCTCCGGGTCTTCTGACCCCTCTATATAAACCCACCTCTTCGACCGCATGGAACGACCCCGCCCGCTCCAAGGCTTGCCCTACGCCATGGCTCGTCACTCAGCGGCGTTACTGCTGCTTTTCTTTTGCGCCACGACCTTTGGCGGCTCCCGGGCCAACGTCCACGAACGACTCGGCATCAACCAGAGCGCCCCCGCAAACGGGAGACTGTCTCTGAGTGTCGCGTCATGTCCAGGCTACGCACTGAGTGGCGTGGCCACGAAAAAGAACGGGTTTTCGGCGAAGCTTGGCCTCGCTGGACCCGCCTGCAACGCCTTTGGCGTCGACGTCAAGGATCTGACGTTGGAGGTTACATACGAGACGGAGTCGCGGTATGTGCTGCTCTCTCTCTCCCTTTTCTCGTGAATGACCTCCATCCTCCAGGTTGCATGTCAACATCTTCGACACCGCCAACTCGCAGTTCACCATCCCCGCCTCGGTCTTCGAGCCGCCAAAACCCTCAGGCTCCGTGACCTCAAAAACCTCGGACCTTGTTTTTAACTACAACAAGTCTCCGTTCGAGTTCTGGATCACCCGCCGCACCGACCCGCACGCTGCGCCGTTATTCGACACGCGAAAGTCTTCTCTCCCGCCGACACCCATACCGGCAGTTATCCCCACAGACAACTCGACAGCTTTGGAAGCATTCCCATTGGTTTTCGAGAACCAATACCTCCAGGTATGTCCCCTTCTTGGTTATATTCACCATCTCATGTGTCCTTTGAAGCTCACATCTGCCCTTCCCCTTGACGCAAACGTCTACGGATTGGGAGAAGTCATCGCAAGCAGCGGTCTACGAAGGGATGTCGGCACGAACGGCGGTGTTGGTACAATTCAAAACATGTGGAGTACGCCGTCCCTTGACAGCTGTCCGGTTCCCATCTGACTTCCTTCAGGTCGCGACATCGCCGACCCCGTCGACGAGAACGAATACGGGGTTCATCCCATCTACATGGAGCACCGCTTTAACGCGACCTCTTCTACTTCATCCACACACGGGGTGTTCCTGCTTTCCGCCAACGGCGCCGACATTCTGCTCCTGACACCGCCGTCGTCCAACACGTCGCTCGTGCAGTACCGCATGATTGGCGGCACCTTCGACTTCTACTTCTTCTCCGGACCCACACCCACGGATGTCATGCAGCAGTACGCCGCACTGGTCGGAACGCCGACCTGGCAGCCGTATTGGGGATTCGGTAAGCTGTCTACTAGTTTATTGAATTCAATTCTCATGCATGTGTTGATAGGCTTCCACCTCTGTCGCTGGGGCTACTCCAGCCTCGATGTCCTCAAAGACGTCGTCAAGTCCATGCGGGACGCGAACATCCCGCTCGAGACGATGTGGAGCGATATTGACCTATATCATGCCGTTCGGGACTTCACCTCCGATCCGGTTAGCTTCCCAGGCGAGGGGATGCGGCAGTTCATCCGCAGCTTGGTGTGTGTTTTAGCGTATTGTGCAAGGACTGTGCTCATGGCTCCGACAGAAAGCGAATAATCAGCACTACATCCCGATCGTTGACGCAGCTATTGCGAAAGAGGTTAACAGCTCGGACCACGTATGTATATCCTTTCATTCGCTATTCTCTATCTGATCGTTCCATTAGTATAATTCATACTCGAAAGGCGCCGAGCTCGACGTCTTTATCAAGAACCCCGACGGCAGCGAATACGTCGGGCAGGTCTGGCCCGGCTACACTGTCTTCCCCGACTGGTTTGCGCCAAAAGCGCTCGCGTGGTGGACTGAGGCGCTCGGTAACTGGTCCAAGGAGGGTGTTGAATACAGCGGCATTTGGCTCGACATGAACGAGGCCAGCTCGTTCTGCGACGGTTCTTGGTGCGTGTTTTCTTGCGTGTCTTGTACTCAGACTAATGGGCGTGTTTATTAGCGGAACTGGTATCGATATCAGCAACACCTCTGGTGAGTTCCCCGGTTTCTCTATGAACTAAAGTTGAGCTTTCGCTAGTCCCTTTCATCCTCCCCGGCGAACCAGGTAACCTTGTCACGGACTACCCGGAGGGCTACAACAGCACCATCTCGGGGCCGAGCGGTAACATAACCGTGAATGGAACCCTCACATACGGTGCATCGGCGTCAGCAAATGGTCTGTCTGTCCGCGGAATCGGCGCAGGAAAGCAGAGTGGCATCGAGGTCAATACCCCGCCGTATGCGATCCATAACGGTATGCTGCTTTACTTCTGAAAGGTGCAAGTATAACTTATTTGTATAGGCAACGGCCGTCTTTCCTTACATGCGCTTGCCACAAACGCGACCCACCAAGGCGGCTACCTCGAGCTCGATGTCCACAGCCTGTGGGGCACGATGGAGGCGATCGCCACGCACAAGGCGCTCAAGACGCTGTTCCCCAAGGAGCGCCCCTTCATCATCTCGCGGTCTGCCTTCGCCTCCGCGGGCAAGTGGACCGGCCATTGGCTCGGGGACAATTTCAGCACATGGAAGTCGATGTACTACTCGATCCAGGGCATCCTGCAGCACCAGATGTTCCAGATCCCGATGGTCGGCGCCGACACGTGTGGCTTCGTGGGGAACACGGACGAGGAGTTGTGCTCGCGGTGGATGCAGTTGGCGGCGTTTACGCCTTTCTACAGGAACCATAACATCAAGGGTGCCATCTCTCAGGAGCCGTATCGCTGGGACTCGGTCGCGAATGCATCACGGACCGCGATTGCGGTGCGATACTCGCTTTTACCATATTGGGTGAGTGGTTTCTTGTCGTCTCGGCCCAAAGGCTAACACATTAACAGTACTCGTTATTCGCGAATGCTTCGCTAGACGGTACTCCTCCAGTCCGGGCCTTGTTCTGGGAGTACCCTAACCAGCCGGAACTCTTTGCTGTTGACAGACAATTCCTCATCGGACGAGACATTCTTGTCACGCCCGTCCTGACACCAAATGTGTCCACCGTCGATGGTGCGTGTCTGTTATGTACCTGTGTTTCCTTCTTACTCTTGATAGGCATCTTCCCCGGCAAGGGCAAGTCCGTCTGGCGCGACTGGTACACCCACGACGTCGTCAACGCCTCCATCACCGGCAACACCACGCTTTCCGCGCCGCTCGGCCACATCCCGGTCCATGTCCGGGACGGTGCTGCGATCCTGCTGCATCAGAAGCCGGCGTACACGGTGGAGGAGACGCGCCAGGGCCCGTATGCGCTGCTCGTCACGCTGTCGGGGTCCGGCGCGAAGCAGAGCGCCTCGGGCAGCGCTTACGTGGACGACGGCGCGTCGGACCCGCCCGGCCCGGCTCGCGTCCTCTCGTTTGCGGCGCGCACCGGCAGCGTGCGCATCGGCGGGACGGGCAAGTACAAAATCTCACAGAAGCTGGCGCAGGTGACGGTCCTGGGCGTGGCGAAGAAGCCGCGGGAGGTTAGTGTGGACGGCAAGAAGGCCAAGTTTGAGTGGACAGCGAGGCAGCAGCGGCTGGTCGTCAGCGGGCTGAGCGTGGATCTGAATAAGGCGACGACGGTGGAGTGGGAGTAGGAGAATCATACCAAAAGGACACAGGTTGTATTTCCTGACGACTAATGTATAGTGCAAACGATTGGTTTTAGGACGGAGACAAATTGCCCTTCCGTTTGTGGGTAGTTCTATCCAGTGCAACAATCGGCTCTATGCATATCGCACTCCTGAATAAGTCACGCATCGGTGTATCCGTCCACCTTTAAGGGCAAATAGATCGCATATCCAGCGTAGATACTCGTCGTCAAGCGCAAATGGACCCGTCGGAACACAAGCGGTTGTCGAAGAAGAGAAACCAGCTCGCGTCAATCGCCCAGTTTCCGATCCGATGTGGGAATCTGAGCACCGGTTAACATTAAACTTGTATTAAATAGGCCGAAAAATGGATAACGAACCTGTGTATAGTCGGTGATCTTTCCCAGGACCCCGTCAGCGCATTCAGTATCTTGACGCGAGCAATTCAGTACTACATAGTCTGATGATTGTTCATTCTGGAGCGCTCGCTCGCCCACGGTGGGCAAAAAGGCCGAGAGCCCTGAGGTTATTGGGAGACCGTGACTATTGATTAATATTCCAAGCACGGTTCATTTAAGACGGTGGATGGAACGAAGACAATTGCATACTCACGAGTCGCGATGCGAGTCAGCTCGATCCTCTTCGTCTTCATCGTGGAAACGAGCGTCAAAGCAGCCAAGACTGCAACACGCGCCTCGTCATTTGCAGGCTCTACTACCGCAGCGATCTTTCCGCCAGTTGGAGCCGACACCGCGGCAAATTCGCTATTCCCAAATCCAAGCGTCGTAGGCTACGCTGGGCCAACAATCAGTGAGTACCCTTCTGCACAGACAACTTACGCATGGTAACTGACTGCGCCAAAGCTGGGGACGAGGCTGCGGTATTGCAGACCGCACCAGCTGCCCCGTTCGTTGATTCCGTCTTCCCGCTCGTTGAACCGCAACCGCTCGAGGCAGCGCCGACTGCCTCGTTCGACATCTTGACACATCTCGGGTCATTGTCACCGTTTCGATCCCTCCCGCCAACCACGTTCGGTGTCATAAACGCCTCTGCAGTAGTGCCAGACGACTGCACACTGACACAGGTCCATTTACTCCATCGCCATGGAGCGCGTTACCCAACCATCGGCGCGAACGAGGTTGCCGCAGCCGTGCATGCAGCGGCAACAAGCGAAGAAGGCTTTGAAGCAACGGGACCCCTCAAGTTCTTGAACACATGGACATACAAACTCGGAGCTGAGATCTTGACGCCATTCGGGCGGTCACAAATGTGCGCAAAGTCGACTATTTCGCGAATGCGAGGAGCTTAAATGCGATAGGTTCAACCTAGGCATGGGATTCCGTGTTAAATATGGTGCGTGAAGGAGCAAGCCCACTTACAGAGCATGACACCATCGTAGGCGAATTGCTAAAGGAGGCGACGGAGCTTCCTGTGTTTCGAACACTTTCTGAAGGTTTCAATAAGTTTCCGCTATCCTACTAGTCAAAGAACTTACCATGATGAACTAGAACGTATGGTCGACTCCAGCCTTCATTTCGCTGCAGGGTTTTTTGGTGTCCAATCTTACTCGACATCCTACCACCAGCTCATCGAAATAGAAGACGATTCGGGTTCGTTCATTGGCAACAGCACGCTCTCGCCCTTGAATTGTCGGATCCTCCATACAGATGTCGGAAGTTTCGGGGCGGAGCAGGCAAGGGGGTGTCACGTGTCAAAAAGTGACAACCGGGATGGTCGGTCGGTCCCCCCTCCGGACCCTTAAAAATTTTTTTTGGTAGAAACTTTTTTGGCTGAAATGGTAAGTCAAAATTGTCTTAAGATGGGTTACAAGTACTGTTTGGTGCACTATACATCCATAATTAAGTATCAACAATCTCACAAGTGGTTATTTTTCAGTATCTCATCATTAGATGGAACATTGTGACAAATCAGACCATATGGGGATGGATATCTGTACTCTGGAGTGAGATTTGTAAGACAATGACTATATCAGGACTTTGTCTACAAGATATATATATAGCTAGAAGTCTATATTTCTATTAATGTTCTTGGAAATTCAGAGGACTGACTGAGTTTGATGCTATCAGAACACATGACTGTGTGAATTACCTTCCTAATATGGTAATGTCACATCACAGTCACGGTCGGTGGGTTCCCTGGAAGGGCTTAAACAAAAAGTCCAACATATGTTCCGTTATTTTTTTTCTGATACCCCCTTGGGAGCAGGCAGAGATATGGAAAGTGAAGTATTTGAATGCGACCCACTGGCAGAAGCGTCTGCAGACGTTTATTGATGGTAACTTGACATTAAACATCGGCACAATCTTCGCGATGCAGAGCCTTTGCGCATATGAGGTATGTAGATTATTATTATTATTATTATTCGGGGCATAAGGTCCCAAATCTGGGTACCGCCCGACTCAAGAGGCTAGCGGGGGTGAGCTGTACCCTCCAGGGAGTACGTCGACCCCCTACCCGCTCTCAGGAGCCATACAATCAAGCACTAAGCTACACCCGTGACGTTGCCCTCACACCGACTATGAACAAGCGGACCGGAGACCCACGCGCCGCGGCCGGCCCTCGCAGGGCAGGATCACTGGATAAAACCCTCCGTGAAAACCCAGTGGGAAAAAACCCGGTGGGACGCAGACGGAGTTCTCCCCTCCTGCGTGGAAATCCCCAGGATCCACCGCTAACACAAAACGCGCGTCAATCGCAGCACAATCCGCTTGGGTCAAAGACTCCGCACTGTGCAGCACCCCCACAAAACAGAACAAACTCCCGCCCCCGCCGTATCAATCTCACCTCTCACCCACTGAATTCTCGCTATCGCTCCCCGCGGCCTCCTCCTCACTAGATACTAAACAAAATAAGCGACTCACCTAATCGAAACTCGGAGTAGACAGTGGCGCTGGGGTATTCTTCATTTTGTGGTCTTTTCACCGAGGAGGAGTGGAGGGGATATAACTACTGTAGCATTTTATTCAATTCGGCGCTCGAAATTGGTGTGACATCGGCGCCGAAATGAAATTTTCGGCGTCCGGCGGCTCCAAGTGTGACCGCCGAAAATTTTGGGCAGATTACGGCGCAGCCCGCCGGGCCGCGCCACCCAAAAATAGTAAATCAGCTGAGGGAATTCAGCATCTGGGCTGTCGAGTGTGACCGCCGAAAAAAATTCGGCATTTTAAGGCCGGTGTGACGCGTGACCGCCGAATTGAATAAAATGCTACAGTACTTCTTCGGTTAACATGTGCCTTTGCACATTCACAGATGGACACTCACCCTATGGTAGACCTCGACTTTTGGTACTCGTATGGCCCAGGCTCGCCCTACTCAGCGGCACTCGGTATCGGGTGGGTCCAAGAGCTCGTGTCTCGCTTGACAGAGACCCGTCTCGGCCCTGCCAACTTCACCACCTCCCTCAACGCCTCAATCGTCACCAATCCGACTCTTTTCCCCTTCGCTCAACCAATCTACGTGGATGCGACGCATGACGCGGTTATCGCTGCGGGTAAGGTCCATGAATTACTTGCTTGATGAGTGCTGACTCACTAGTCTATGAAGTCGTTACCGCCCTTAATTTCACCAGTCTTGCGGGAAATGGGCCGCTTCCGACAGACCACATCCCTAAGAATCAGGTCAGCACATTTGTTCATGTATAGAACACTTACTGAGCCATGGACAGACGTACTTTTGCGCAACAAATATCCCCCTTTGGCGCAAACCTAGTGGGCCAGGTCCTCTCTTGCCCCAGCCGAAGTCCTGCTTCCTCTTCAAGTTCCGCGTCGGCTTCCACCCACATCCGTTGGTTGTTGAACGATGCAGTGGTGCCCCTAACGGGTCTTTCTGGCTGTGCATCCAACGAAGCCGATGACGGACTCTGTCCGCTGATGAATTTCGTGGCCGGGCTCGAGCAGCGCATTGCTGAGGTGGACTTCGGGTTTGCTTGTTTCGGGAACTACAGTGTTCCGACGCCGGATAACATTATCGATGGCCGTTATCCTCAGTAGAGTGAAGACTTACTGGTAGTTGTGCTGTATTTCCTGGCCTTCCCCCACGAGGTTCTTGCTGAGTCCTGGCTTACGTCATCGCACGTGATTATCTCGGCCGGACCTCCGCCATCATCAACAAACATTCTTTTTTTTTTTTTTTTTTTTTTTTGGAGCGTTTGGAGTAATGAACTTCAGTCTGCAGAAGCATTCCAAAGAACATCCGCTGGGTGCACTGGGAATAGCCAGTAAAAATGCCGGGAAGTAAGCTCAGGGGGAAAATGCCTTTACGCACGTTTTAAAACCAGTGTGGGACTCCTACTGTTAGTGTGGTTCATCCAACACCTTTCTTCAAAGGTAGAATACCCACTAAAACCCCCTTTTCATTTATCCAGTTATCCGGCAAGGAGTCTTCATCCAGCAGAAGTCCACTCCAAGTATTTAGAACTACTTGGTGATCAATAGCTAATTTATCAAATTTATATTTATTAGTCAAGATTCTATCTCGTTGCAGTATTGAATTTATCATTGTAAGCCATCGATTATGTATTTCATTAACTTGGAAAATCTTCTGAGGATTTTTTTAGACGTCTTTCATTTTGTATATTCCAAATCATATACCATGCAGCTGATACTAAAATGCTGAACAGTCGATCTTTATGAGGCTGAGGAGTACCTTTATTATTATGAAACTTAGTTAGATTACACCCTAGCACTAATCCCCATTCAATTCTTGGCCATTGGCTAAATTTCATACTCCAGAGCTGCTCAGTTAGTTTCCATATATATTCTTTCTAAGGCAATGCATTCTAGCATAATATGTTCTAGAGTCTCTGGAACCTTACACAGAGGGCATTCACCAAATGATTGAAGGTGAGGAATATTATCCCAGAATAGTCCCACTTTGAAAGTATTATGCATAGTTTTCCAGAGAAGATCTTTGATTTTGCTACTGAAATGTAATGGTCTGATTGATTTCCATATAGCTGCATCTGTAGGTTCATAATTAGACACTTCCTTTATTGTTTCTCTAGTTCTTTCTAGGTTACTAAAAGTTGACTTTCGCACAGGAATTTGGTAATTTGATTTGATAATCCTGGAAAACAATCTTTGTGAACCACTTTGTATTGAAATACCGGGTGTATGAAAGGTAAATTCAGGTTGTGTTTCTAAGACCCATGGTGTGAAAGGTTCATCAGTAAGTAAGCTAGCTTTATTATCAAGAATTTTACTAAAGCAGATTTTCTGTGTTCTCTCTTTCATGTAGGATAAGCATGCAATAAACAAATGAAATATAGGGTTTGCCATGTCATTTTCAAGCAAATGACGTTTCTTAACCAATAAATCAGACAGCAATGGATTAGTAATACAAATATTAACTGTACAATGAGGACCAACTAGCTCAAGTACCAGCATTAGTGCACCTAACCAGGCTGTCTGAAGGTTCAAAGGTGTTGATGTATCAGAGAAAAGAATTTCAAAAGTCTTATTATCACCACAATCTTCATTTGAAATCATTCTCAATGCAACAAATAACCTAGGTTTATACTCTCCTGAACATACAACTTTAACATTTATAAATATATCAATATCATTGAGTTCTACAATTTGAGTATTATGTCTTCTTGCTGGTTGAACGGACATGAAAAAATCATCCTCTACAAATATTCTGCACACATTAGCTAGATCATCCACCTTGTAATTAGGGTCAAAGGTGTGTTTATATTCACTTGTAAATGGGAGTGAATTCTGTGATCGTTCTTGATCAGTAAGACTCAATTCATTAACAACACTACAGAGAGGATTCCATTTATCATGAATACATAATATGAGTTTTTGAGCTATATTAATACATTTTCCAGGATGATCACATCGTAGTATTTTCCTGTCATAAGAACATGCATTACAGCCACAATTCTGTCTTGAGATACCTGAAAGATTAATTGTATGTGGTTTTTGACCTGCTATAGTTCCTCTGTTTGCCAAGGTTAATGCATCTCCTACTGTTTGCACTCCATGATTAAATTTTAAGCAATCAATTCTAGTATAATGTCTTAGTAAAGATTTGTATGAGTTCTCTTCTACTGAGATATGATACCATATAGGCATTTGTAGTTTAACGTCTAAATCAATTTGTAGTCCAAATATTTTCAAGTTAAATTTTTTTGCAGATTTAATCATTCTTTTGATTTCTTCTGGTAATCTTGTAGTTTTAGAGATAGGCAAGGTCATTGATTGTAAGAAGAGATTAATCATAGTCCCCTCAGGTTTTTGAAGGTAACTTTGTGTCCAAACATTATCTATCAAACTGTCAACAAAGAAACACCAAGATGGTCTATGATCTCCTTGAGAAAGATATATTTGAAGATTCCATAAATCAATTGCTTCATTTCTAGATTCAAGATCAAATATATTTCTACCTCCCCTCTCAACAGGCAATCTCATAGTTTCATGAGCCACTCTTGCCTTTTCATTTTCCCATAGAAATGCATGTTGGATTCTTTTTAATGTTGCTTCAATTTCTTCTGGCATACCTTGAACGCGTGTTAGATATTGTGTTCGCCCTGCAATGCTCATATTTATTATATGTCGTTTGCCTTCCAGTCCAGGATTAGCCCATATAGCACGACCTAAGTCCCCTCTAATTTTTTCCAGTACTGATGGCCAGGGATTAGAGCTTTTCAGATTATTTCCTAAATGTGCCCCTAACATCCTAAAGCTTTCATTATCTTGTAAGATTCTCATTGATTCTGGAATAATACCTTTGGGTGAATTTGAATTTAGTCTTCTATCATTTATAATCCCTGCTCGGTATTGATTATGACCAAAAGGTACAATTACTGTTTTAGAGATATTGAACTTGGCAGTTGAGGCTTTGCACCATGTATCTAAAATTCTCCACAATAATGTCCAAGAGTCATAGCTAGATAGGTATATAGTTGTATCATCTGCAAACAGTGAGATAAGAAGCCTACGTTCTGTTCCGGGTACTTTGATTCCTTTCAACTCTGAGTTCCTGAGCATGCATGCTAATGGTTCAATTGCAAGATTAAATAATAAGCATGACAAAGGATCTCCTTGACGTACTCCTCGTGTTACAGTAAATGGTGAGCTTAATTCTCCATTAATCATTACCATGGTTTTTGCTCCAGTATATAAATTTAGAACAGTATTAAAGAAACGAGGAGGAAAGCCCATATGAACCAAGACCTTCTTAAGGTAATCATGGTCAATCCTATCATATGCCTTTTCCTGATCCAAGGCTACTAATACTCCATTTTCTTCTGCTACATCTGCATAGTCCAATAAAAATTTAGCTAATTTAACCTGATCTTCAATTCTCCTTCCCTTCATAAATCCAGCCTGGTCAGGATTCACTAAATTACTTGCCACATTCATCAGTCTTAGAGAATAAGTTTTGGTCATCAATTTATAGTCAGTATTTAAGCATGTGACAGGGCGATAGTTGGAAATCAAAGAGCGATCACCTTTCTTGTAGATAGGGCACATCCATCCTGAATTAAAAGTTGAACCTTCATTTACTCCATTTTGTTCAATGTCTTTAAACACCTTAGTGAGAAAGGTTATTATATCTAAAGCTGGAAGATCTTTAGACTTAAGTTTTCCATATCTAATATCCAACATCTTATAGAATTCATAAGGGATTCCATCTAAACCTGGTGATTTATTATTATTGGAGAGTTTGAGAGCATGTTGTATATCAACTTTATTAAATTCTATATTCATTTTGCTATACTCATCCTCAGAAAGATGAACCTTGCAATTTTCCAAAACTATATCTGTGCTCATAAGCTTGCCATAACCTCCATCATCTAGGTCAATGTCTTTAGTCTGGATAGAATCATGGTAATCTCTTGCCATTTCACTCATGAGTTTAGGATCAGACACATATTCAGTTGAATTTCCTTGAGTAGTTGATTCCCTGAACTCATATATATAATCTTTCTGCTGGTAGCCTTTTAAGGACTTAGTCCAGCTAGAAGTTCTTAGGTTTTCATTTGTGGCATGATATGCTGCCTCTCTCTGTGATTTCTTTATTTCTGCTTCCTCTAGTAAATGAAGTTGAATTTTCTGTTGGAGGACCACAGCTGACAAAGATTTGTCCTCTTGGCTTAGGGATTCATCATGTAATATCAAATCAATTTGAACTTGTAAGTGTCTTACTTTTTTGTCTGTTGCATTTATTCCCCTCTGGGTGCAAAGCTTACCATATTCTACAATTTTTTCTTTCCATCTTTCTAAAAGGGTTTGATAGTTATGATGGGGATCTCTTATCAATGGGTTCAATTCATTCCCTTCTTTCTCCATTTCCACTCCACACTGATTTACAAAGTTCATGAACTTGGAAGTTCTCAATAGGTAAGTAGGTAAGGACCACCTTTTACCATTTTTAATTTCCTTTCTGGCAACTAGTTGAACAGTTACTAAACAATGGTCAGTTCTAATTCGGAAAGCGAAAACACACGACCTGTAGCCAAAACGTCACTCTCTTCATAGTGGATCTCCTAACAGTAAAAAAAAATTGATACATATGGGCACCAATTGTCAAGTTCTATGGAGTCCGGGCCCGCTGAACTTGTCAAAGCAGCCTTTAAGCAGGTCCTCAACAAGTGGACAACAACTCAGGCATCAGTGTATCCCACCACCTCCCCGTGTTCATTGAGATCGCATACCCAGCGAAGACTCTCAAAATACTCGTTGTCGTCAGATTGGAGTTGGGCCGCCGGGAGGGACGCAAGTGGTTGTCGACGGAGAGAAGCTCCGGGGCGGGCGTTTTCGTCAGACGACGGGCCGGCGTCGGTGCCGGGGGAGGACGTCGGCACCGGCGGCGACGGAGCCGGGTAGGTCGGGGTGGGTGGAATCAACAGAGGGTTGGTGCGGAGCCTGGCGGTGGGCTGGGTCCGCGGTGGCACGCGTATGGGGCCCGGCACGCGGGGCGCCGGGCGGGTCGGCATGGGTCCCCGTGGCACCCGGGTGCTACCAGGGGGCATGGGGGCCGGGGCGTCGAAGACGACGCGCACGTGCCGGCCGTCGCTGCTGTAGCTCGTAGTGACGGAGACACCGTGCGGCGTCATATACGAGGAAACGGATCCGGGCCGGGGATTGGCCAGGGCGATGGGCGGAGCAAACTCGAGAGGACCGTCAAGAGCCTCGTGCCGCGGAAGAAAGCCCATAGGCGAGGGGGTGCGGCTGGGCGGGGCGAGGGCCATGATTCTGATGGTTATTTGTTTGTGTTGGGAGATGGGAATTGGAGTTGGGAGGCGAAGGTTGGAGACCTCTGCTTATATACAGCTGCTGGGCCAACGACAAAGCGTTCGGCATTGTTCGGGGGTACTAGCGAGCTTTGACTCTCGCGCTTTGTCGCGCGCTTTGAAGCCCGGCCCGGGCCCAGCCCAGTGGGTACCCACAGAAGTTAGAACGCAGGCAAGTCCGCTTGCACACTGAATCTGACTCTACATTCAAACCACCCACAAACTGCTGCCATCGAGCAATCCCGGTAGCATCCCCTGTCACTCTGCGCCACTCCCTACTAGAAAATTCGAAGTCCTGCAGCCGCACACAGGACAGCGCAGGGGACATGACAGAGAGCTGCTCGACGGTCTGCTGGTAAGCAGTCCCATCATCGCTATCCCCCCAATCTGCGTTGGGAGGGACAAGCATCGCGTCTTCAAATTCTGCTGCCAGCACGTCCGAATCGTCGAACTCGAAAGGTGGACGTGCGCGATTGGACATCGGAAAGCGATGGAGATGCAGACTCGTCAGGCGTCGCATCTTCGGTAGACAAGTGTACTGGAAATAATCCCAGGCTTCCTAGCTCAGCTTTTTTAGTCGTCAAAGTTTGTGTATATTTAGTCAACTGGATACGCACCGTGGATGGTCTGCCGGTATAGTATACGTACTCGAAGTGCTCCAGCGCCGGGAGTTGGACCGTGATGCAGGCGAGGACATCATCGTTCCACACAGCCACGGCCAGAGCAAATGATTTCAGTGGGTGCTGTGCGCGGTATAGGCGATCGACGAGCCAGATCGCGGCCCTGTCGGGTACAAAGCCCTGCACCGCAACCTGCTCCAGCGTCGACGTTGCCGGAATAAGCTAGGGTGCTGTGAGTAATGGTGGTTTCGAAACGGTTTCAAAACCGGTTTCGAAACACGTGTTAGTTTTGAAATCGATGGCCAGCCGACCCGGTTTCGAAACCGACACGTGATCCTCCGGGCAGCCCGGGCCTGACCGCTGGGGCTTGATCGCCTCAGAATATCACCTGCGATCACCTACCGAAGGCCAAGCAGGTGAGTTCCCGCGGCAGTGGAGCCGCCTCGGCCACCAGCTGGCCTTGGCCCATGGCATACTCCTCGGAATTATCATACCCGGGCCCGTCCCCAGCTGCCGACTGTCAGCAGACCCCCCCGGCCGGCCGGTTTCGAAACTGTTTCGAAACGGGGGGTGTTTCGAAACCGGTTTCGAAATCGGTGTGAGTAATGCTTTTTGCATTACTCACAGCACCCTAGAATAAGCTGCTCCAGAACGAACAGCGGAACTGTCACGGGCCGGAGGCGGGGCATGGGCTGGAGTCGTATCTAGTCGGATCCGCCGCCGACAGAGATCACACAGGAACGGCGGGTGGTACAGCCGCGGAATGATAATATCTAGGCGTGAGAGGTTCTGCAGCGAGAACCCCTCCACACAAGAAAAATAGGTCGACAGCCTAGAGGCTTCGAACGTCTGGCATGAAGAGAGGCGGGGCCAGGATGTGTAGCGACTCCACTCTACGTGTCTTTGAAGGAAAGCGCATCCAAAACGACAAAAGATGCGACGCAGCAACGTGCAGGCTCCAGTAGCGCAAATTTCGGATGAGGGCATGCAAGGCATTGCAAGCTGGCGGTATGGAAGGTGCTGGAGATGCGGGAGATGACTGCGAGAGTGGCCCTGTCCGCCTGGTCGAAGATGAGCATCCAGACTTCCAAGGGTATGGGTCTCATCGAGGTGAGAAGTGATGTGAGTATTGCGTAACAATCATGACTCACGCTGAATATTGGATCAAATACAATTTCTCGGAATACTTATCTATATTTCAAGTTCGGGTTTGTATGTCCAGATCCAAAATTCCACGCACCCACTTATCCAAAGTAAAGGACCTCCAAGACCCCCCCCCGGGCGCCGACCGTGTCACCACTCTGAGCAAGGACTCAGAGTCAGTTGTAAACACATTACAAAAAAGGCGCTTACTGCTAGTGTCCGCCCAACAATAAACTCCTCACTCAAGTAGACGTTGTCGAATGTGAAAGTTTCCGGCACAGTGATCTCGATATACTGGTTGTCCGACCGCACGCGCTTGTCAAAGTGCATAAACCCGGGGGTGTTCTTTTGGAACGCCTTTGAGTCAGTGCGGACTAGCCGCCTATGATCGCCAATGTTAGCCGGGGCACCGGGGCCGTTGTCGACAAGACTCCGCAGCGCAGCGACACCGTAGGGATTAAAATCCAGTATCTTCATCCGCTTCGGCTGGTCACGCGGCGCCACGGGGTCGTACGGCGGATACGCGACCATGCGATGTCCAGAGCTCGCGAGTATCCAAGCGCCTGCGACCTCTTGTGGCTCCAGCCAACGGGTGCATGTTTTTCCCCACGTCTTCCATTCAATTTCCACCTCACCCCCGTCCACGTTCCCGTCCCTTTCCTCCTTGATCGATTGTACAACATCCAGAATGTATCCCGGAAAGAGGACAAACGGGTGCATCTCGCGGTCGTCGCTGTCGAGATCGATCGTCTCGTAGGACAGGAAGACATGGGCAGAGTTCGGCACAGGGGGGAATTGTGCTTGGTAATACTGTGGGTGAGATAATTTGTTGTGTGGGCTGGGCGAGCGACGACATTGCATTCGCGGACCGGAGATGCTCGTGCGTGGGCGGACGCCGGGGAGCCACAGTCTTGCCGTCGTGGGAACGAGGGCGGACGACGAGTCGGAGAAGGAGTAGATGAACAGGCAGTTTTCTGTCGCACTCGCAATCATAAGGTCGCGGGGGCTCAGAAACGCCAGGCCAAAGGTAGTGCTGACAACCGGCCCCTGTTGGAATCCAACATTATATGCAGCTCCAGTACTTTGGAATGACACACCAGTAAAATGTTCCCGCTTTTCCAATTAAACGCGTACAGGCAGTTCGTGTCTGCGTACATCTCGTCCTCGTTGTAGATTGCGAGCGCGACGAGGTCTCCGGAGATTTCGGCGTTGAGGTCGCTGATAGGATTATTTGACGCTCGACGTGTTATATGGACCTTTGGCAAGACTGCTATCGGATGTGGGCTTCCCGTTGAAAACGTGAGCATGAGCGCGTCGATCGAGACCATCGAGGCATCATCAGGGCATGTAATACTAGAGTACTAGTCAACACCAAAGTGAAAATAGGAAGACATTGACATACACCGTGAAAATGACCAGCAGATCATGCTCCTCGAGCGCGGTTGCGAAATTTGCAAAGTTGGTCCCAGAAAACACGGTGTGCCAGACCGCGGGCTGCGCTTGCGGCGCCATGTCTATATAAGACAGCGAGTCGGCAAGCGCCGATCCCCCCGTACCATGTGCTTCCCGCGCCTCCAGCCAGAGCCCGGCGCGAATGGTGTATAGCAGTACCGGCCATGTCGGGTACTCGATTGTGTGCCGCGATACCGGGTCGAATTCGCGCCAGCGGCGTTCGCGGGCGCGCAGCGCGGCCAATCGCGCGGATGTATCCAGCCCTGAAAAGGCAGATGAGTAAGGGTTTTCTTCAACCCCCGCCTCCTCTTGCTCGATGCGATAGCGGATGGAAGGAGAGTTCAAGATGAGTGTTGTAAGCAGGCGACTCCCGGCGTGCAAACACGACGCGATGTCATCCAGAGGGAGGAAGAGGAGACAAGCGTGGATGAGCTCCGGGGCGAGGTCCAGCAGCGGCAGTCCCTGGGACATGATGGCAGAGAGAGGCTAAGTTTGGGACACCGAAGATTTGTGTCAGTTGACATGGCAATAGCCGGGTGTCTGATGACGTTATAGAGGTTTGTTTTTGTTGCTTAAGCCTGGGCCCTGATGTACTTATCGGAAGCAACCACTAGAAGAAACTGGCAGCGGAGTGAGCTATTTCCATCATCCGAGTCTGCCACACGAACAGTTGTCACAGGAGAATTTTCTAAGAAACAATCTGGTCCATCTCGATTCTTCATAATTGTGATGAATTTAAGAATAAAAGTACTGACATATCCCCCCAAATTAGAGTATGTATCATGCCCCAAGAAATTGGAACAAAGGTTTTCTCAAATGTTCATTCAAGGTCCAAAAATCACCTGTAGTTCTATACATTCAAGTTTGACCACTGCATTGAGTGCAAATCTGGCATGCAATACACAGACTACACTGAGTAGTGCTTGCCAGAATTATATGATGGTTGATTAAATATTAAATATATTCAGAATGTTATGAATATATTATGATTATGCCCTTGGTTGATCACTTGAATATGATTATGCTTGAATATGTATATTTATGACTATACTATGATATAGTCACAGAATATTCAAATACAGTAAGCACACCGGGATTTCTGCCTACAAATGGGCTCTGAAGTAGAATTTATTTTTGATAAATAGTGGACAAAAAATCTATTTTTACCCGAAACATAAATAAAACTCCAGGAAAGTAGACTTGTTTTGTAAGAAATTGGGGTCTATATTAAGTTATCCGATTGGACTTAAGTCAAAGCCAATATCAGCTGACAATTTTGTGGCTATCAGATCAGCTGGAACATGATGTTGAAGTTTTGATGGTCACATTTGTGACTTGCTGAGAACCTTCTGGTAATTTCCTGTTTTGCGCTGACTGATTCATAGAATATACTAGAATATGGATAAATGGGATATAAACAAAATAGACAGTTAGCATAGGGCATTGTTTGCCCTAACACATATATCTCTTACCAGATTGCGATTGCAAACTGAATATCACCACTTCTGATCCCCTCGCACCTCAGATCAATAGGTATTTCAACACATGAAGTGTGACCGATGAAATAAATAAAATACTGTAGTAAATGAATTGATAATGCCAGTGCCAAATATGTGCATACATTCACACAACATCTGCTCGATATAAAGGTAACTAGCATTAATGAAAAAATGACAACAGCCAGAATATGAGAGTGAGAAACATCTTCCTTATTTGGAAATTTGTGATCTGATAAATAAGATATCCACAATTCATGATTTTACAGACTTTATTTTCTCATTAAAAGATGAACTTAATATCAATATCTTATGTTTCTTTGTAGCAGAAAGAGCATTTTTTTTCACAAGTAAGATGTGTATATTTTATGTTTTTATGTCAATGAAAACAACATCTTTGTAGAAAGGACATCATTTGTTCACCCTTACATATAAGACCCTTTCATATAAGAACAAAGAGTATCTTTCAGAAAAAGTCAGAAAAAGTCAGAAAGATCATGAAACATCATCTTTCAAAGTTTCCTTACCCCTTTCCTGTAAGCAGAAAGCAGACCTTTCTCTTTTTCTTGAAAGATGTTCTTTTTCTCTGCTATCAAAGTGTATATAAAAAGGCCTTTCTTAAAATGGCAGAAATATGTTCTTTTGCACAACATATCATTAAACATAAATATAAACAGCTCATTTATGAAATAAATCCTTTATATTGCACAGAAAGGGGTATTGAAAGCCATATGGAAAGGTCTACTTTTCAGAAACTTTTTCATCCTTGTCAAAGATAGGCAACTGCACAGGTAGGCCTACCTGCACGGGTAGACGGGTATGGCTCAGGGATGGCAATATCTGTAGCTTCCTGACTCAGCTGGCTGGACTCTGTTGGCTTAGTCAACATGCCTGTAAATATCTGTGAGTATGGGTAGGGATTTACCCATGGATAACCAGTTGCTGATGGAGATGTGTCATATAGACTGAATGATTAGAGGCTGTAAAGAATGATAAAAGGGTGGCACTGAGCAAGAGTCACACAGAGGGCATGTCAGGGGAACCTCCACTTCAGCCTCCTTTAAACTATCTGAGTGCATCTGAGGTGGATCCAACCGGAGCCCTCTCGGACGCTCTGACCTACCCCAAGTTGGGACTATAGTTGGGGACCCCAACCATAGTCCCTGGCCTCTTTCACCTGTACAATCACCAATCTGTCAAGACCCTCCCAACAATCACCTTGGGACAAGGCCTGCGATGGCACTCAGGCCTTCTGCACTCTATCACGGTAGTTACAGATGACAAGTATATAGTTGGTGCCCTAGCAGGCGGACCCTTAGAGTTTTTCTCTTTGGATCCTCCCCTGCTAGGGGTACAGGTATGAGTAGGCCTTGTACCTAGGGGTTTACCTGTGCAGTTGCCTAGGACTCAAAGACATTCTTTTGCTTCTCACAGGAACTGTCACAAACAACACCAATTCAGAGGATGCCAGTTGGCCAGTGAAGGCAAGCAAGAAGCACCGTGAAAAGATATCGTAAAGATGATGGAATTTGAAGACTGGGGTACAAGACAAAATCTACTCTACTTATATACACTACTACCATGTGTTTACCATGCCTAATACGAGAGGCAATGACGTCATACTTTAGCCATGCTGTTACGTGCTGTTTGCCTCATGTCCAACTCCACGCTGTCAATCAACATCAGCATCGACATCTGATGATCCAATCACCATCTTATCGTCCATCTTATCTCCTCCTTGTCTTATCTTATCAACCAGGGCCATGTCAGCGTCGGGCTCGGGCCGTATCGGGGCGTCGGGGGGTCCGACTTCGAAAGGGTCTGAGGAGCACGAGAGATGGGTATTCGCCCGGAGAATAGACGATATTAGCCTAGCGACTACATCTTGTAAGTACGACTTTTATACGCTACGGTATTAGGGATAGATCGGATGGGCGCCAGGTCCCAGGGCGGATCGGATGGGCGCTGCGTAGGGCCGCAGGGGTGAACGGAAGGGGTTGGAAGAATGAGGGGACGTCCAGGAGGACGGCGGTATACGGGCCCGACCCGAACCGTGACATCACCCCCTCTGTTGTGGGCGGCGCCTCGACGCCCTATGGGTCCGCGTCCCCTGGTCCTGCTTTCGGATTTTCCATCGGCCGTTTACGAGTTCTTCGGGCGCGAACGGGTTGAGAGTATAGAAGTCCTCGAGTGCCTCTTCTGCGCCCTCCAGTTTGTCCCGCAGTTCCCACGTCCACTCTTCCCGAGGGTAGCCTTTCCACTGAATTAAGTACCTCAGGCGGTGTCGACCTTGCTTGCGTACGAGGGAAATGGCCTCGACTTCGTAGTGAGGCTCGCCGTCCCGCATTTCTGCCGGGGGGTGGGGGCGGCCCGTTGATGATCCGCTACAGGGGCGTTCCAGGGTCGTAATAGCGCCGTGTGGAATACGGGGCTCACGCGCCAAGTTTGGGGTAGCACCAGTTCGTAGGATGTTTTACCAACTTTGCGCTTGACTTCGAACGGCCCGAACCTCTTGTCGTCCAGTTTTTTTGAGGGTCGATCGCTGGTCAAATTCGTCCCCTGGAGGTAAACTTTGTCCCCTTCGGCGTAATTCGGGTCCGGAGAGTGTTTTCGATCGTAGTATTTCTTCATCGTTTCCTGGGCTTCTTTCATAGCTTCGGCTGCATCGGCCCGGGCTTCCTTCATTCGCTTGGCAAACACTGTAGCGGCCTCGGTCGGGACGTCTTGCGGGGCTTCGGACCCCTTTCTCGGGTGAAATCCCAGCGTGAGGAAAAAGGGCGAGAATCCCGTTGAAGAGTTAACCTTGTCGTTAAACGCGAATTCCGCTAGAGAAAGCCAGTCGGACCAGTCACTCTGCTGGAAGTTGCAGAATGTTCGAAGGTATTGCTCGACCTCCATATTCGCACGCTCCGTTTGCCCGTCCGTCTGTGGGTGATACGCCGATGAAGATCGGACCTTGATTCCCAGCAATTTGCTCAAGTCGCTCATGAAATGCCCGATGAATTGCTGGCCCCGGTCGCTCGTTACTTCCTCTGGGAATCCGTAATCCTTCCAGACGTGATTGCGATATAGCCGAGCGACTCCTTCCCCGGAGATGTTTCCCGTGCACGGGAGTACGCGTATCCCTTTACCCAGTCGATCGACGATTACGAGAATTGTGTTGTACCCGGAGGATTCGGGTAGTTGCACGATCAGATCGATTGATATGCGCTGCCATACCCGAGTCGGCACGCTATTCGGGACCAAGGTCCCTACGGGGCGTCTCGGGAATATCTTCGTTCGTTGGCACAACGGGCAGGCCCGTACGTATGCCTGGCAATCGGCCTGAATAGACGGCCACCAGTAGTTGCGGGTCGTCAGCTCGAGGGTTCGATGCCACCCTGGGTGTCCCACGATAGGGATGTCATGGTGTTGCCGTAGCACCCGATGCCTCAGTCCCATAGCCGGGGGTACGTATACCAGTCCGTTCCGAGTCTTGAAGCCGTCATGCTGTTCCCAGCCTTCCGGTTCTCCGTCTTCCCAGAGTTTGAGGACCTTTTCCTCCGTGGCCGATTCGGCCCGTCGGATCGAGTCCATCAGCCCGTCGCCCTCCGTATGCTCCAGTGTGAGCATAGCACGGATCGCGTGTTCCTTGAATAGCCCCGCCGGGAGTAGAACGATGTCCTGGTTATCCTCCTTCCCGTTGTCGTACCCGTTTCGTCGGGATAACGCGTCGGCCCGCCCGTTCGTTTTCCCCGGTTTATGTAGCAAGGAGAAGTGATACTCGCTCAGTTCGAGAGACCATCGTGCCTGCCGCCGGTTCAGTTTCTTAGCCGTCATGAAGTACTCCAGATTCTTGTGGTCGGTCCAGATTTCGAACGGCTTATCTCCCCCGTTCTGGAGATAATGTCGCCACTCGGTGAGGGCCCGCATGATAGCGAGCATTTCTTTGTCGTGAATGTCGTAGTTGCGCTCGGTGTCGTTCATGGCCCGGGAGAGGAATGCAATCGG